GGCAAAGCCAGGCTCGGGGGAGGCGCAGTCATCTGCTGCAAGTGGTTGGGGGTGAGGGAAGGGAGACAGGAAATAAAACACTTTGCCTAAAATAAATTCCCCTCTGAGCGCCCCTAGTCGTCCTTGTGAATAAAAGATTAATTAACTTTCTAGATAACTTAGCTATAATAGCTGTTGTTTAATACTGGTTAATTGATTAGTCCTTGCATATTGGCCCATTTTTACCAAAACTTTGTACTGTATACATAATGTATGTATGTGTAATTGTATAGAATCTATAGTTGCATATTATTGCATAAAGCTCGAAAGTGCAATTTTATTCCAGTTTTTCATTTTTTATATTACATTTAAAAATAACACAACACAACTTGTACAAACCCCCTGCAGAAGTACTCTGTAATATGAGTCTTAACACTGAGTATTTGTTTAGTTAGGAGTCTGGCTGTTGATGTTCAATATACTGAATATTATAATGATGGCTCTTTTTTAAAGCTACTTCCTGCATGTAATTGCCATCTAAAACCATTACTTTGTCTCTCACAGACCCATGCCATATGATTATTATGAAATCCATGTCAGCGTGGATGGTGTTCCCAGCATGTGCCGTTATAGTTGGTTCTGCAGCTTTAGAGTAAGTCTGTGTGCAACACAGGATTCATTTATCTGTGTTATGGATTTGTCGTGGTCATTGTTTTTTTTATCACCTTTACTTTAACTCTTTTCAGACTGTTTGGTATCGCACGCCTACTATTGAATCTCTGAGTCCAGTCAGTGGTCCTCCAGGTAACGTGTGTGCTGCATTCAGTTATTTTACTGAGTTCACTTTGAACTGTTGTTAAAGCCACTCTAATGACATGGCAGGCACATTGGTGACCGTGTATGGACGTATCTTTACCGATGTATATGGAAGCAACACAGACTTGAGCTCAAATGGAATCAACGCCAGATTTCTGAGGTAGAAAATGTTAAAATAACTGAAATTGCATTTCTGTAAACCAATTAATCTTACCAAAGCAGCAAAAAGCAATTTTATAAAATGAAAAAAAGGTCACGATTTGAAGATAATCTGTTAATATTCTGTAACAGATCCACCCTCATCCATCAGTTTTCTTAAACTTTATTTGTACACCTCTGTAATCTTCTTTTTATTGCAGATCCTACATGGGAGGAATGCCTTGTGACCTGCTTAAACCCAACTCAGATGAACGGTAAGTTGTTCACCTGCGTGCTTTCTACATTGAATAGATTCAGAGCACTATAAAAGAAAAGACTAAGTTATTTCATTTTTTGCACAATATATCTTAAGGTATAACCTCCAACTGGTTCCTCAATCTTCACAAATGGGATACATGAGCTGCAAAATGACGGGGACGTTTGTTGGTAGGCTGGCTTTGTTCACACTGAAATTACAGCTCTTCTTAATATATGTCACTTTCAAGTTTTCCAAACAACCCTTTAGGAATATATTTTGTATCCAACAGGTCATCAAAACCTGAGTTACATTCTTGATGCAGACTTTGGGAGGTAAAACACTTCAATTGTTTAATGTAAAATTTGTGGCTTCTGAACATTTTTAGCTGTTGCAGATGATAAACTGAAAATTGCGCTGAGAAAAAGCCATTCTTTTTTTCTTTACAATCTGTAGGAGTCAGGCAGTGAAGAAGCTCTACAGGGTTTCAGCTTTGGGCAAGCTGTCCATGTTTCAGACCTTTGCAGGTACTTAGGAGAGCAGATATTTGTTGTTCATGTTGATTCAATTCTTACATTTAGTATTTATTCCTTGTTTTTGTCTTTTTCTTAGAGGTGACAGGGGTCTTGCCTTCAGAGGGTAGCATCATGGGAGGAACTCTGTTGACCGTTCAGGGTCGTTTTTTTGACGAAACTGATCAACCAGCACGCGTTCTCGTTGGAGGTAATCGTCACCATCGGAACAGAAACTCATACAAACACTAACCAGCAACAGCCGTGCCAACTTGTTTTCAGTACAAAGTGTTCAGTATGAATGGATACAGCGTTTCCACTAAACAAATCTCTATGTGTTGTTCAAACTACAAGTCACGCAAAGGTGATAATCCTTGTCAACACACCAGCATGTTGGCATGGTTTGAAAACAAAACCACTGACCTGTCAGACAGCAGAGGAAATAGCTTTCCAAAGCACAGAAACACAACACACCATGACAAAAATGCTGCTTTTCCAAGGGCTTCGTGAGTCATGTAGTATGCTGCTGACTTTCAGTTATGGTACATATGCAATAATAATAGATGTGAGACTGTAACTGAACTGATGGAATCACCATTTAAAGGCATTCCTCTCCACAAAGATAACGATACAGATCACTAAATTCAGGTGTTTGCAGTGCATTGGAAATGTATGTCAGCTGTGATGTGACACACAAATGATCAGTAACAGACTGGAGAGTGTAATGTGGAGACGAATTAGTTTTTTATGAGCTTTACAGTTAGAAAATATAAAACCAAACAGTAATTTATTCTGTAAGTATTTATATATTTGCATATTTGAAGTTATAGATGATTTTAAAGATGTTAAATGCAGAAATAGCCATTGAATTGTCAGCTACAAAACATTACCAGTTAGAAAATTGTATAAATATATGATGGTAGAAAGAAGCAAAGAAATAAAATCTAAGTGGTGATGGAAAAAAAATATTTGCAGAAAAATATATTCATATATCGTAATAAATTTGATTTATATTTATTTTTTAAATAAGTTACAAAATGACCAACAGGAAGAAATAAAAAATATATTAAACCAGCTGAAAAATAAGTAAAGAAAACCTACAACACACGTGAATTATATAATAGATTATATTATTGTGTTTTTGTTTTAAAGGTAGACTTTTAAAGTTAAAGGTGGATTATAGGTGAAGTACTTTATATGTTGAATTACAAGTTTTAAAAATGTAATCAGATTAACTACTGTTTAGCCATCATATTGATGCAGGACAGGAAAAGGTAGACCACGGGTAGTACTGTGGGTGTACTGTGATAAAATTGTTACATGGACTTAAATGTCAATGAAGTACCTTGATACTCATTGATGTACTTACATACAATACTTTGTATTAATTGTGCTTTCTACCACCGTCGAGTGGTTGAAAAATGTTTCAAAATTCTACACGTTAGGTAAATAAACCCCCCACATGAAAACAGGCTTTATTCAGCTCTGCTGTTTTTTTCTGCATATGTGTGTAAAGTTGATGTGAGCTAAAATGTACCTTTAGCCGCTGACGTTTGATCTTTTTCCACAGGCCTGCCTTGTGAAGTTCAGAGTGTGGACGATGACAGAATCACATGCAAGACTGCAGAACACCAGATGAACAAGAACGCAGCAGTCTACCCGGGTGAGAACGCGCCGTCTCCTCTGATGTGTTTGTCTTTTAACTGGCACTTGTTTTGATCCATCCTGCCGCTGTCATACCGTGTAATTATCTAAGTAACACATGGGAATCTGTGGACAACTCGAAGAGTGGAAGAATTTAAAGTATCTATTTGTCGCAAATCTGCTGTCTTAGAGATTTCATCTTGTCCTTGTCACCTTTTATCAAGACTCTGACTTTGATGTGCTGTGTGCTGGAATGAGATAATCATTCCAGCACAAACAATCACTTTAATCGTGCATCACAGAAAAGTTCTAAGTCACGATGACGTGAATGGAAAAAAAACACACACATGCCTTTTAATGTTTTTCAATTTCTACCACTGTTTCTATCAGGAACAGAATCATCTTTAACTTTAATTTAAATACACATTGGTACCCTGGATGTTTTATCTTTGTCATATTTCAGCATACACAAACAGACCTAAAAACTGACTGTACAGGCAGGCTTAAATATAAAGCACACCCTTTACTGGTGGATAGGAAGCAATAGAAACTACAAAAAGTGAGAGAAGAATAACAAATCCATGCTATGTTTGCACAAAGGGCTAATTCGGGAAAGAAGACAGAGCTGTGAAAACACACATATCCAAGTAATTCAGGTGATTAAACAAGAGGAAACCAAATATAAGACATAGATGACAAGTAACTAGTAAACAAATAGTGAAAGCCATAACTTAATGGGGAAATACAGAAACATAAAATAACTCTCTGTAGCAGAAGAGACACAGGAGGATGAAACACTGAGGGAATAAATTAAAATAACAGAAGCTAGAAGTAAACACTCAAAACTGAGGCCAAGGAATAACATCAAGATGACAATCTACACAGTAAGACAACTAATAACCAAACATAAAAATATTTAATAATAAATACAACTTGAAAGACCCAAAACTGAAAGCTCTGGTGGTGACATCACCGTACCGAAGAGGTGGCTGACACAAACACATTGTAGCATATGAAAGGTCTCCAAGTTCTATCAGTGAAGACCAGATCCTGATCCACAGCTGTGTACTTCACTTAAATATTCATAGAATGAAGGTTAAATATTGTATTAAAGTTATTTGTACAAAGTCCATGTTGAGTCTGAGGGGGTCGGTTAGGAATTCGGGTGATCTATTATGACCCATATATAATCTTAATCTTTAACGACTTGTTATTTATTGTTCTTTTGCTGTAAAATTTGCTTCAAGATGCACAAAACTTATTTAAATGAATTACCAGCTTCTGCATTTACCAAGTATGTATTTCAAAAAATACTCTTGACAGATAAATCAGATCTGGGCTTTGAGGAGATACTGTTGTCCAAGAAAAGAAAAATCCTTTCACCAGAGAACCTTCTGATGATAAAAAATGACTCACCTGTCCTTTGTGTTAAAACGAGGTCAAAAAGCAGACGTACCGGCTCGCTGCCTTTTCTGTTTTTATTTGCTTTGCTTTTTCCGTGTTTGTCTGATTCAGGCCCGTCTGGTTTTCATCTTTCGCCACTGGGATTTTATGTTGTAACACTCTTTTACTTTCGTGGGGTGGCTGTAGCTCAGGTGGCAGAGCAGGTCAGCCACTAATCAGAAGGTCGGTGGTTCGATCCCAGGCTGCCTCCTGGCTGCATGCAAGATACTAACCCCATGTTTGCCTACTGGTGGTGGTCAGAGGGCCCGGTGGCGCCAGTGTCCGGCAGCCTCGCCTCTGTCAGTGCGCCCCAGGGCACCTGTGCCTACAATGTAGCTTGCCATCGCCAGTGTGTGAATGGGTGAATGACTGAATGTAGTGTGAAGCGCTTTGGGGTCCTTAGGGACTAGAAAAGCGCTATACAAAGTATTTGAAATGAGTTCATGTTGTTCATTATTTACTTCGTTTGTAGCTTTTCTCACACTTGTAAGCCTTTTATCTTACCATTGTTCATCTTGACTAATTTTAGTATTTAGCTCAGGGACAAAAGCAGTGTGGCCCTAAAATACATTGACAACAAACATTGTTGCTGATATTAGTCTATTGATTGCTTTTATTATAGATTATTATGCTAAAAAACATTTAATATGCCATCTCTTTGGCATTTAATTTTCTTTCCTTGATTAAGCGACTAACTGTTTTTGCATACCTCACTTTTACTTTTTATGTGAAGGCGGAAGAGGCTTGAAAATGGAGGTGTGGAACAACTCGTGGCCCTCTTCTCTCAGCAATATTTGGAGCTACAACAAGAACACAACTGGCTACTGGTCTCAGTGGATCGACTCCATGCCCTACGTCTTACCCAGAGAAATGGATTACTTCACCACACGATTTACAGGCTTCTTTGTCCCTCCTGCCACCGGCAACTACACGATATACTTGAACTGTGATGATCGGTGTGATCTCTATCTCAGCAACTCGAGCCGCCCTGAAAATAAGGTGTGACAAGATTATTTTTTCTTCAAAACACAGTACAGTTTACTGTTCTTAAGTCATAATAATTTCCTAAATCCTTTACTTCAGGTTAAAGTTGCATATCAGCCGTATTATGTCAATGACTACACACAACTGGCGTCACAAAAGTCACAAGTACTGGCCTTGGAGAAAGACAAACCGTAAGCCTGGCAGCCTGCAGCTTTATTTACCCCAAATCATTCATCCAAAGTATACCAAAGATTTTATAGGCATACCTAAAATAACTATAAATGTTTTGTTTTAGGTATTACATGGAAATTCTTCAACAGGAATATGCCGGTGCAGCTACCATCAACTTGGGCTTGTTCCAAGGGGAGAGTTCCTACACAGAAGACCAGACGGATGATGCTGTCAATGAAGTCCAGGATATTGGTGCTGATTACGACGTGTTTGATGAGGAGCAGGTACGGCACGTGGTAGCTACATATCAGACTAGTGTATATAGTAATGTACTGTAGGTATGATGTTGCAACACTGTTTGTAATGCTTTAAAGTTACAGGTGACAGTGAAGGTTGCTCATTATTTGTTGTTCTAGCTATATCAATAGTTATCTAATGGAAGCCTAGTCTAAGCTACTTCCAGCTATTTTATTAGAAATAAATCAAATGACCAATATATTCACACAGCTAAATATAATAAAGTTCTGCTGAGTCCAATATATTTTCAAGGGTGTGATGAAGACCACTCAGAATGCTTCAAAATGTCTTCAAACTATATGTTTTGGTATTTTATTTGCCTGGAAGACCTCTAATGGCAGAAATGCTGTGAATGTACAAATCATCCAAAAGATGTAGTCGGACGTTTGGGTAAATATACTCTTTCATAAACAGGAGCATGTTTGGTTAGTTAGCTTAGAAATAAAAAATAGAAAGATGAGATACAGTAACATGCTACAGGTTTGAGCATTAAATAGTGTTACTATAGCCCCCTCTGTTGGACAGAGCAAGGCTAGGTTTGCTCCTGTTTTGCAAAAGTTGCAAAGTGCATGGGAACACCTCTGACCTTGAGTTGGATAAGTTGAAGAAAATGGATGGAATGATGTTTTTCATAGCTTTGTGCCTCATTTCTGCACATTTCCACTGTTAACCAGGTGGTTACCTTTGACATGTGGCCCGCCAATGTGGCTGGAGTCAAGGAAGTCCAGAACGTGACTGTGAGCAGCAGCTGTTCTGACGCAGTCTGTAGTAGCGCCTTCTTCAGCCTCGGCTATGGACGTGCTATGACTGGTAATGTGAAAAACACTGAGTAAACTTGGATTTGGTAGCCACAAAAAAACTTGCATATCTTGGCCCAAAATACACGTTGTTTCTTCATCTTTTCCTCGTTTAGCACCGATCGCAGTCAGCGCTTCAGCAGCTGAGGTAGAAACAGCCTTGAACAGCCTGTGGTCCATCAAACCCGACACGGTCATGGTCACCAAACAGCAAAGCAGCGAAGGGTCTCACTTTATAGTCACTTTCAATTCTGACAGAGGTATGAAGAACCAAAGCGAGGCGGATGCATAAAATAATTAAAAAGAGTAAGCTTGTGTTGAGCTTTGTTGTTGGGTGTTAAATTTGTGCGTTTTGCTCTCTTGGCTTGTAGGTGACTTTAAACGTCTTCACTTTGAGGTTTTTGGTTCGGACACCAACATCACTGTTACTGAGGTTACCAAGGGGAGGGGCAACATGAAAACCTTCACTCTGCTCTGGGGAAGAATCCCTACAAAGCCCATCGCCTTCAATGCATCCAAATCTGAGGTCTGTATTGTAAAAAAAAAGAAGAGTCCAGTGACCGTCTCAAGTTTAGCTGAGATATTTTTGTCATATTATTCACAGACTGACTAGGATGAAGATTGTTGTGGAAAATAACTATCAAAGATCCTGCAAAAACTGAATTTTTACAGTTTTGTTAAAGGTGTGATGTCTTGAGGTAACTAATGTCCAGCTTGTGTGAACAGGTTCAGTCGGCTCTGGAAGATCTGATGAAAGCAGAGTGTCCAGGGGAGATCTTGACTTTTGAAGGCACTGATGTGAAATACTTCAAAGACTTTGAAAATGACACTTCGCAGGTTTGTGGGGACAAATAAAAATACTAAAACAGAAAAGAAATGTCTGTAAAAATGAAACAGAAAACTGTAAGAAATGATTTCTTAAATTTTTAGAGAATTTGATTGTGGATTCTCAGTTTTCTGCTTTTTTCCATTCATCAGTTCAATATTGCAAACGGAGGGACGCCTGTAGATCACTCGGGATTCTGCGGCCGGTGGTCGCTGAAGAACGCAGAGATCCTTTTCAAGGACAGCTACACAACAGAGTCTGGAGATAAATATGGACCGGTTTCATTGGACAAGCACCCAATGGTAAAATCAATCATTTATGTATGTATTGTTGATGGCATTGTGCAGCTACCTTTTTCACAAATATCCATTTAATTTTCTTCCAGCTTTGCTTTGCATACAAGGGAATGTTGAAAGATGAAGTTGGAATGAGGTTCACTTACCAGGACAGCAAAGGCACAACGCTAACACTCACAACAAAGATCAACACTATCTTCAACAAGGGCTCCAAGTCAGTGCTAAGTCCTAAAAGTGCTTTTGATTTATCCAAAATGTGCAAAGACACTAATTACATATCGGTGCAGCGTGTAAATAAGATATTTTCTTCACAGATGGAGTTACAAATGCATGAATCTGCAAAGTTCTCTGCAGACACAATACATTGGGAGCAGATACAGTCTGCTGGAGTTCTACCTGTACAAGGATACTTCTGGTGAAGATTTCTACATAGATGTCGTTCATATCGGAAAGATGGCCACTGCAATTGATGAAAATGGTACAGAGTTGGATAGTACTTATTGTTTAATTGTGCAGACAGTATTCAAGTATCTTAATATTCTGCTGAAAAGTACATTTTTTTATATCTATCCTACCGTTTTGCAGAATACCTTTAAATGTATAACTTTGATGCCTGTACAGGGAGTCTTAAACACTTGTTTTCTCCCTAATTAAATATTGATACACTTAATTTTCCTAATTTTTTTATTGCACAGCTGTTCCTAACAAGAGGAGGCCCGCTCCTTTTGAGAATTCTGGTCGGTCCTTCGAGTTGATCTCCGTCAGCAAACATGCATCATCTGCTTCACGGATCAGCTATGAGATCAAAGCCACACCTGTAGACTGTGCGTTTGATTTTCCACTGCTAAGCGTCGGCTTCCTGCAGGTAGGATTTAGATGTGTTAATTTAGATGTGTAAAATAGAAATATTGATTAAGAAGTCTGTAGATTCCTGGAAACCACAAATGTAACGTCGGTTCAGTTCAGGTTGGCTTCGTTGTTAAAAGTCAGCAGACTAGACTAGAAGACTAGAAGCTTAGGTTTAGCAAGCTAACCTACATTCTTAATGCAACTGGGAAATTTTCAGGCCTTTTATTGTGGCTATCAAGGCAAAGATTTTGATTTCTGACTTCTTGTTATTGTTCAAAAAAGGAGATAAATCTAAACTACACTGTCACCAAGCATTAGTTATCTGATGCACTTTAGCAAATGTCTTTTTGACTCTGCGCTTAGACTTTTTACCTGCATCCAGACAATGCCTGTTAAGATGTGATTGCTTAATAGAAACTATGCTACAGAAAAAGGAGGCATAAGTTCTACTAATTTGTAACAACTGCGATACCTGCTTCTAATAAAACATATATTTACACAAAAATGTAAATAAAAAAACGGAAAAAGAAAGAAACTATGCTACAAACAGAAAACCAAAAAGCACAGGTTATATACATCATGTCTTGTCCCTGTCCTACAATGCTGTACATATTCAAGTGCAGAATCTGAATTTTTTTTTCTTGGTCTGCAAATAATGAGAACAATTTTTGGCTGTTGAAATCCTAACTTTTTGTTAAAAAATATATATATATTGTGTTGCTAATATTAAACGGGAGAAGAAGGGGCTTTCCCAGTAAGGCCAGTACTGTGGGATCTTATTGGAGTAACAGTATGAGTTTAGGCTTGTTGGCTTGTGTTTCTTGGAAAACAAATCCACACAAAGAAAGGACCGAGGCTAAAAGTTAAGCCTGCATTTCTGTGCTATTGTGTTACGATGTCTACGGATTGTCTCAATAAAACAAACCAAAAGATGATAAAGGAAGAGTGAGTAGATATAAAGTTTCAAAATTGCCTTAGTAGCAGTATTTTGAAACCAGATGTCCTGCTTAAGAGATCAGTGTTGCCTCAGCAATGTGAATGAAAGCAGTAGAAATGTACAGTGACCTGCAGGCACGTGTGCGATATAAGTTACAGTACAGAGAGGCACCTTAATGATCCTGTATGCGTGTCATGCCTCCACCTGCTCTACAGTCATTATTTGGCTAACAAATTAAAGCAGAAGCAGCACCAAAGCATAATGTCAGCTATTTCAGTTAAAGCTGACATTAATCTTTGCGCAGTTTATGTGGGTTTTCTGCTTCATGTTGTTTTAACAGGTGTTCGTTTCCCATTTAAAATCCAGCTTGTAGAACCACATTTAGTATCAATAAGATGAAGGTTTTTTTGTTTGTTTAGATGGCCTCACATTTGACTGTTATACAGAATAGTTCATGATTACCTCAAAGACTGCATGGTGCCCAGTCCTGTGGTTGCAAAACATGATCCCAAATCATCACCCCTCCACCAGTGTGCTTGAGAATTGGTATGGGGTGTTTGTACCCATCCAAAGAAGCCATACTTGTTCAGTCTTTTTTTAATAGTGCTGCCATGAACTTTAATATTTACCATGCCAACTGAGGTGTACTTCTTGGTTTTAGTTTTTCTTTTTTTAATACTTTTTCTAAGCACTGCACAGTCGGACTGTGGTTTGAATTTCAATTCAATTCAATTCAATTCAAAATAACAGATATGATTCAATGCAGAGAGGTCTATTAATACATAGTGAGTGAGAAAGGTGACTGGAAAGGAAAAACTCAATGCATCATGGGAATCCCCCGGCAGCCTACGTCTATTGCAGCATAACTAAGGGAGGATTCAGGGTCACCTGGTCCAGCCCTAACTATATGCTTTAGCAAAAAGGAAAGTTTTAAGCCTAATCTTGAAAGTAGAGATAGTGTCTGTCTCCCGAATCCAATTTGAATTTGGGAAGATTTTGGAATTGTGTTAACATGTACCTGAATGCCACAGACTGACAAAACCTTTAAGATAAGATAAGATAAGATAAGATAAGATAAGATAAGAAGAACTTTATTCATCCTGAGGGAAATTCTTTCATCATAAATATACAGAGGAGGTCACACTTGTTGATGATCAGTTAATCAATGGATTTGATTAGCAGCATCTGAATGCTACTTACTATCTTATTTCCTTTGAAAACAGTGAGTGAAATTCTTGTGACAGGATGTATTTACAGAATAAAGCTAGTTTACGCTGCTCATTAACATAAGTAAAGTAAATGCAGAAAAGTTAAAAAACAGCATACATCATATTGCCATTTGAACCAAACACACAATATAATGAGCACAACATCCAGAGAGTCCTTTAAACACTGTCCCACAATGAGCCTAAAGTGAGTTCACTCATGATCCATTTTCTGGATCATTTTCAAACGTTACAACCAGGATTAAGAAGCCAAATCAAAATGTGTTGATATTTTTTCTCTTCACTGTCTTTCCAAGATGTCCAACAACAGTGAGGACGCGGCTGAGTTTAAAGAAGGAGCTGCCACAGTGACCATCGCCCGCCCTCACCGAGCCTCCCCTCCTCTGAACGGCACTTTTGATGCGATGATTTACGGTGGTCGAGCTGAAGGTAGCGCTGACAAACATTAGTAGAATTTGCATTGTAACAGCTGCCTTGCCTGCATCTGCGGTGGTCCACAGATAGGATTATCCAAAAGGTTCAATTCTGTGCGACCTATAACTAATTACTGACTTCCACGCTACTCGTAAGCCATTGTTGCCATTGTGAAGGATGACAGGTTGACATTAATCCAAAGTAAATGCACAAAAGCTCTTTTTAAAAGTTTACAAAGCTTCTGAAGGCTCAAAGAGAAAGAAACAGGGAGCTGAAGCTTCAGGTAGTGTTAGCTCTGCAACGTTATGTCTGCGTCTCTGAGGTTCACAGATGAAAAACTAATGACTAATAGTGTTTATTCTTAGATTAACGTTAGATTTAAAACATAGCACTCTAGGATCAATACATCTGCTATAGCTTCAGTTATTATTTTACCACTTTTCCACTTAGTGTTTCTGTGATATATAAAATAGTGATGTACTGCAGCTTCATGAGGGGAAACCTAATAGATGTGGTACAAATATCATTCATTTTTGGATATCTTTACACGGCTATCATTAAAAATGCTTTTAATGACAAAACAAGTCCTTGTTTTTAGGTTTATCTGTGGACATCAGTAAGGAGGACCTGAAGTATGCCCTGGAGGGAATTGCAGGGATGGGCCAGGTCACCGTCCAAAAGTCTGGAACCTGCAGACGTCCCCAGTGGAGAGTTAAGTGGCTCACAAAGCCAGGAGACCAACCTCTGATCCAGGTCTGACTCCACCGCTTCCTGTTGTGTTTGTGTTCCTTTATGTCTTTGCTCTTTTACACTTTCTCTATTAAAATGTAAATTTCGTTTCCCATCAAACATATACGTTTGATAGGAAAGGCTACTTTTTCTCTAATAAAGAAAACCCTATGAAAGACCAAAACTGCCAAAATCGAGAATAAATAGAAATAAATGAAGATCTCCATCAATAACATAGTATTAAAAATAAATGTAGACTTTGTGTATAGTGACTTTGTTCTGCTAGATTAGCTAACAGCTTCATTTCTGTAATGATCTCCTGACTCAAAGCAGCCATGTGCTCCATGACCCCAAAACACTGAATTACAGTCTGCTCATTTGCATTTTTTAAAGCAGAAAATGCATAAATAAATACAATTTGTGGAATATGCTACAGAAAATTAAATAAAAAGAAATGAACACCATATTAGCTAAATGAGGCGCTAATAGAAGTAAAATTAATGAATGATAAAATGTTAATAAATATTAATTTATGTCACAGTTTTAAAATTTTAAACTTAGTACATTTCATTATATTTTATATTTTTTGGTCCATTCACTGACATGACTTTTTGATTTTGGCACTTTTCTATAAATGTTGCTTAAAATTACTATTGTGATACAACATTAGATATGTGGAAATATCCATATTAGCAACAAAAGCTTCAATGACATAACAACATGTACATAAAAGTTATAAACATACATCATACATTGTGATTTTCACTCACTACAGTTCGATTACTCGTCAGTTGTCGGGGAAAATGTCATTATTTCGGCCACGGAAACACGAAAGGGAGGTCTGTGGATTCGAAGCCTGACAGGAGACTTTTTCCGAGTGTGGGAAAACAAACCACAGGTATGACTGCGAATCAAAAAGCCTCCAGCCCAGGTGGTTTCAAGTTTCAAGTTATGTGTTTTCCAACCGTCTGCTATAGCTACAGCTAATCTGTTAATGTGTTTTTGTTACCGTGCATCCTGTAGAGCAAGTTTTGTTTTTTCTGTTTGCATAAAGCTGATGTATTTTTATATTCTGAGCCTGCAGGAAGCATGTTTACTTGAATAACTTGTTTGTACAGCGGTGATTGACAGCAGTCTTTAATAACTGTCTCGTTATGACCGCTCGCAGGTGGAGGTTCAAATCAACGGCATCCCATCAAAGTGTTCTGGTGACTGTGGCTTTATATGGTCCGAAGAGAAAACTCCAGTCGTGACAGGAATCAGCCCGTCTCAAGGTGTTCAGTTCATCACCAAGTTACTGTTACCTGCTGTACTTTGTAACTTTAGTTCCTTTGACTCTGGTCTCTTTGCACATTTAACTTAAAACTTAAAAAAAAACTTAATAAGTAATAAGTAATAAAATAAAAATGATAGTTATGATTAATAAAGAATAAATGAATTATAGAATAGATGCACAGAAATGACACAGTGAGTCAGCTTAAAAAGCTGGTGAGTCTGGATTTAAATGCTGTTTGTGATGCAGTTGAACTTATCTGAAAATGGAGACTGTTCTGGAGTTTAGGAGCTCCAGCTTTGAACAAAACGCCCACCAGTGAAGGCTTTGTTATCCAAAACTTGTCAATCAACACCAGTTTTTGACAGTATTCGTATAAAGCCTGTTGTCAGTCTCATATTATTTGATCAAGTCCTGGAAGTTTTGTAAATTATGCCGTGTGTTTTTATGCCGTACTGTATGGTGAAGGCAGCTTATGTAATTTAATATAATGTTTCAGGTTCTAATGGTCTGGGGACTCTCTTAACTGTCACTGGGACTGGCTTCGGCAGTGAAAATGCTTCCATCATGGTGGGAAAGGCCAGGTGCCACGTTGAAGCAACCACAGGTGAGTAAAGTTATTTTTGAGAAGTGAACATTTTACTCTAGGTTCTCGTTAAGATAACTCAGATGATACTTGTCTCCAGGAGACTAACTATAACATGGGAAATATATTTCAGCTACCACTCAAGTATGCAGACTTGGCAGCACCAGTGCCGGCACCTACCCAGTGTTAGTAAGCTTCCCCTCTCTGGGCGATTCACGCTTTTCAGACAGCAACTTCCTCTTTACCTACCAGCTCATCGTGTCTTCTTTCGTCCCGCTCTCTGGAAGCGTTGCAGGTACAACCACAATCCTCTATGTGAGCCATGAAACACCTAATTCTGCGAGACAATTATTATTTTCTTTTTTCCTCAGGAGGGACCCTGCTGACAGTGAGAGGCTTTGGCTTCAGCCAGAACGCTACAGTTACTGTTGGCAGTGCAGAGTGCACACTGATTGATTCAACTGACACTGAACTGAAATGCAGAACACCAGCAGTAAGTCCCCACACTGCAAACTCATTTTTATACACAGCGTTTACCTGCAATAGCATGCAAATAAAATAGCTGTCGTGTAGTGTGCTGAGAACTGAGTAAAAAGTAAATGAGCAGAAAACAAGAAGAATGCAAACTGGAAAATCCAGAGTTGGTAGAAATTAGTCAAATAATTTCATATCATTTCATATTTAATTATCCAATCCAATATCCAGATCTGTAGCTACATTGCAATATTTAAAAAAGACTGTAACACTTTTTTAGGTACACTAAGAACCTAAATTTAATGTGAGTACTTGCTGGATCATGCATAGTAATTACAAGACATAATAAAAAAAAAATTATTATTTTTTTTGTTGCTGAAGTTAATCCAGCAATGAGAACTGAAATTTAAACTCAGGCTTTAGCCACTGACGTATTAAGTGACTTACAAAATTTCTCTATGGTCAAGTAAATGCATTGGAGTCGCTATTAACTCGTTCTTTTCACTAATTTTCCTATTAAAACTATTTCAAATGACACTTTGCATGGCTACTATAATATATATAGCATATGTATCATTGTGTTACTTTTTGTAGTCAGTCTTACATAACTTAATGTTTTGTAACATTATATTATTTCCCGGCATTAGCTCTGAATAAGGTGCTTACTTTTATTAAAATGCTTATTTCAGGGAGCTGTGGGATCACAGACGGTCACGGTGTTGTTGGGAAACATGAGTCAGACGGCCATCAGCTCCTTCACCTACGATAATAACCTCACCCCACAGATCACAGGCCTGAATCCCCTGACCACCACTGTGATTGGTAAGCTCAGCTCCTTTTTTATGCTGAATGGAGCTGTTGTGTTTATGCATCAAATAACCTTTAACGCAGCTATAGAGATCGTATGATTAATTTAAGTAAAGATTAATGAGTTTAATGAGGATGAAGGTGGGTTTTGTCCTTTAAAGGTTACTTTCAGTCCTAACTGTCTGCTGTTTTAGAGTCTGCTTCCCCTTTGTGCTTGAAAAGAAAATGATTCAGTGTTTCTTCATTGAATTTCAAGCCTCTTCATACACAAAGTAAACCACATATAGGCACAGTGCATTTGTTGTTATTCAGTTAGTGCTATGAAAACAGTGACTCCAGAAAATATTAAAGGCTTATGTATTTTTGTCAGTACTTTTACACAGGATAGGTTACATCACATGAAATGTGTCCTTGAATATATGAACACTGTATTTTAATGGCAGAGAGAGCCAAAATGTTGACGTGTGCTGTGTGTTCTGTCTGGGCTTTGTTGCTCAGAGCTGGCATGTTTCTGACCTGTCAACAGCAGCTGAAAGCGTGTGTAGAAACCTCAATTGTTATGGTCTTGAGTTGTGTAATGCTGATTTGCAGGTTTACCCAGTTTTAGCCTTTTAAAGCTTTCTTAAGCTTGAGAATCTTGGCTCAGGGGGCTAACATGGCTTACCGTCTAATTATACTAAACAACTAGGAAGAAATGACACTAAAAGAATTTCTACTAATCTGCAGAACAACCCGTGACATTCATGTTTTAAAAAAGAAGAACGATGAGAGCCAACGAGGTGACAAGTGCCAGTCATCTTGGCACTTTAATGACAGAGGCTGCTACGTTGGAAAAATAAGTTGGCATACTTGTTTGTCTTTCTTTGTGCAGGCCACCGAGTTCTCACCATCCAAGGTTTGAACCTCGGGCAGCGAGACAATGACAGCATCGTGCTTGTAGGAAGGAGGGAATGTGTCACTGTGCTTTGGACGGAAGCAAACATCACCTGTCTTCTCCCTGTGCTGCCGCCTGGCATGCATGAGGTGGACGTGCAGGTTGGGAACAATGGCTACCCCCAGACGAGGTACAGCATCTGTCAAAGATACACTGAGTGATTTGGAAGTACTATCACGGGTTCATCTTTCGCGTGCAAAAATGAAAGACTGCTGAATTGTTTTCTCACGTGTCAGATGGGCCCAGGTGCATTCTGTGAGGGTCAGATATAAACATTGTTTTATATTTGTTTGTTTTCAGTCAATATACACTGTATAGACTGCGCCAAGGTTCCTGACACTAGAGTTTGATCCCTTCAAAGGAGTAGAAAATAAATAAGACAACAATAAACAAATAATATGATAATAAATACACAAAAAGTGGAGCATGGTTTATTGCAGACAGAGACAGGATTTGGGGTTGATTTGAAAATGTGATTAAAATCGAATTAAATAAATAAATATCGCTCTCTAGATATATCTATATCTATCTATCTATATACAGTGGGACTC